CACACCATCACTATCAACTTCAGCAAAAATTCCTGCGATTTAAAAACCCATATAGGCACAAGTCGAAACGACGGAAAACAGCCAGATGGTATGACACTTGTTCCATGGAAAAATGGGGAATCTGTTGTTTGGGACTTTCCTTGTGTAGATACATTAGCAAATTGCCATCTTCTTGCTACTCCTGCGAAAGCCGGTGCTGCTGCCTCTTTAGGAGAAAGTTCCAAACTACGGGAATATCAGAATTTGGGAAATAATTATATCTTTCACCCAATAGCTGTTGAAACTTCTGGTGTTTTTGGCTCTGAAGCCTTATCTTTCATCAATGAAATTGGAAAAAAAGTAACCGATGAAACCCACGAATCAAGAGACACATCTTTTCTCATTCAAAAAATTAGTATAGCCATCCAAAGAGGAAATGCGGCTTCGCTTTTCGGTACTCTTCATGATTCCAAAAAACTTGATGAAATTTACATGTTTCCTGAATACAAAACTTTATAATGAAAGAGGTGTAATAACAAACCACTTAATGGAATCAAAACAAAAGCAAATGGAAAAAATACTGTCTCTCAGCAAAATTCTAAACTAGGTTTCGAAGATACTTCCAATTGTTCAGTGATAAATTCTTTAGTCAAAACCCTTGGGTTGAATAGTTCAAAAAATATTGGTAACACTTGTTTCATGAACAGCGTAATCCAATGTTTATCAATTACAAGATGGTTATTGAATTATTTGAAAAAAGATGAATTCATGAAAGATATCAACACTAGTATTTCTAGTATGGAGGGTGCTTTAGTCAAAGCGTTTGCAGAAGTCATCAAGGAGTTGTGGTCAGAAGATTCATTCGATAAAGTAGTAAATACAGCCTCCTCAAAAAATCAGATTCAAAGTTTTGCTCCTCGATTCATGGGTAATTCCCATCAAGACGCCCAGGAGTTTCTTCGTTATCTTTTATAAGGATTACATGAAGAGGTTAATATGATTATTGAGAAACCTAAATCACTTTCAACGGAGATTGACGAAAAATTGAGTGACAGCGAAAATGCATAAGAGTCATGGCTCACTTATTTGAGGATGCATAACTTTGAGATTGTAGATAATTTTGTTGGTTAATTGAAATCCACGATGGAATGCACATACTGTGGACACTCATCAGTAACCTTGTGGCAATGCTCGAATTCGTTTACAAGAGAAGAAACTTTGGATAGAAATGAAAAACCGACATGTTGAAGTCAAATTGAATGATATCATCGAATTTCCTCTAGTAGGATTGGATATGGACAATTATGCAGCAGTTGTTATAATCTATATGCACTTTTAAATCACAGTGGGACTACTTACATAGGGCATCATACAACATATTGCAGACACCCGTATACTGGCGCGTGGCACAAATACGACTCACACGTGTCACCAATTTCACCAAAATAGCTTGTGAGTGTTAGGAATCACGTCCACTTTCATGAAAAGGATAGATCAAAATCGCACCTTCCAAATAACTGAGGGAAAGTTATTTTATACAATTATTATTTATTTTTTGTTAAGTTCTTATATGTACCTGTTTCGTCAATATACTGTAGATTGTTTTTTTACTTTCAACGGAATTTGGCCCACATAGAATAACTACTGTATTTCAGAAGTTCTGAAACGATTTTCTTTCCATAACATATTCTGTCATGATGTATTAAAAGAGGATCAAATGCCTTTATCGACAATAGATCACCTCTGACCTAACAACAAATCCGACCTTCCAGCATGGAATCGAGAATTCCGATCCGTTACATTCCCGAACATCGGGGTTTAAATCAAGTGTACGATCGGCGCTTTTTACAAATCAATATTTCACAGGATATCCATGAACGCCGACAGATAACCTATTTCTTCTTTGTCCCTTCGAATATAGGGCAATTTCTTTTTTTTTTTTCTCAAAATGGTAAAATGGGAATGTTGCAGATATTCGTTTGAAAGTTTCTCACATGACAATCCGAGTGGGTATATTTTCGTTTCATGACACAGTTTTTTCAACAAGTCCCACTGCATAGTTGGTAAGAATTTTGTTATTTTCCACGATAAGTCTTCAAAATATGTGATTCATAAGAGAAACACACTCATCTCCAATAAAATTAAATGGTCATGAAACAAAATCTTATATTAATCAAAATAATAATATTTTTATCATATATCACAGAAGATTGGTACAACTTCAAAGAAAAAATTGCTTCGAAGAAAAATTATGACTTCAAATTTCTATATTTCAATAAACAGGAGTTTATTAGGAGTTCCTCAGAAAGAAAAGTGCATGTACAATAAATATTTTTTAGGTTAATTCTACATTTTTTTCTTCATACCTATCTGAATGAGTTTTATAGTTTTCTCAAACTAATTTTGGAAAATAATTCTAAAATCCATACCTACTCTCTTTTATGTGTATCCGAGCTTTTATTATATTAAGTTTCATTTTCAATCCCGAAAAAATTTTTGCTTCTATGACAAACAATATTATTAAATTTTACATATGTATCAAGTCGGTGATATAACTTCTTGAATTCTTTGAACTAATTTAATCAAACTCAGATTTCACTTATTGGCTGCAGGTCAAGAATTTCACAACGAAAAGTACTCTCTTCTTTCATCTGTTTGAAGGTGTAAAAATTGAAACTTTGAATTCGTCATACATTCAATTACACATTCGTCGAACTGACTGCTTCGAATTTATAATAAACTGTGAACATTTTTCTCTGAAGTAGTTATTCCAAAAGTACATGAACTAGTGAAATCTTTCATTTCCATATTTTTCATAATCCAAATAATCAAGTATTAACAATGTGATTCATACGATACATCTTTCTATTATCATTTATCAGAACTGAATTCACATTATTAATACCATCTTCTCACTGTTCTTTTGGGTATATAACCTTCCACAATCGGAATAAATATTTTGTGAGAAAAATGAAAATTCAACTAATGTTTTCTACAGAATGCGTATATATTCATCTAGACTATAGCATATGACATCTGATTATTTTTTTACGTATATCAAAAAAAAAGCTATTCACAATTTGAGGCAAGTGAATTTCTGGTTTTGAAAGACTGTTTTCCGAAACGTCGAAAACAGAACTAAGTATGAATGCTTGATTTTTTCAATTTGTAAGCAAAATTCATACATACGAAAATCTACTGACTCTACAGTGGTTTATATGACACAGTAACATTTTGGGGTGAACCTCTCACACACTTCAGCATATTCTCTATTGATTAGGCCTTATTTATTTTTCAGATTGTTACATACCCAAATAAAATAATTTTAAAAAATCTTATGTTGAACGGTTTTATTGAAAAAAATAAGTAAACGTGATGTTGATAATGCACTAAAAACTAAAAAATATTTCGAATGGTCCTAGATAGCAGTCATCACACTACTCTCCTCAGCAATCTACGGTATTGATCAGTTGAAAAGAAATCATTGGGCGTAGCGTAACCTGAGTGAATATGTAAACACTACACATAACGATTTTCTAATTCATTATCTGATCAATAGCGTAAATTGCCGAGGAGAGTGATATGATGACTGCTACCTGGGACCTTCCAAATCATTTTGTAGCTTCAAGTACATTATTTACACTATTTTCATGTTTTGTTTTCAATAAAACCGTTTTTCATACCAAAATTCGAATTATATTCAGTTTCCAATTTTATTACTCAATTCTTCTCAATTCGTTAAGGGCATTTAGTATCTCAGTATCACAATGTGATATGTAATTCGCCATTTCGTAGCTGCTCTCATCTTGATTAGCATCGTTTTCAGAGTGTACTACTGTTCTACCAGTCATTTGATACCCATACTGAGGTAGTTGTGGAAAAATATGTAATCCGCCATTTTGTAATGTGAATTTGCATATTTTCAAAAGTGAACTACTATTCTACTAGTCAAGTCTTGTCATTTGATACCCTTATTGAGGTAGTCGTGGAAAAATATGTAGTCCGCCATTTTGTAGCTTGAATTTACATATTTTCAAAAGTTTACTACTATTCTACTAGTCAAGCCTTGTTTGTTATTTGATACCCATATTGAGGTAGTTGTGGAAAAATATGTAATCCGCCATTTTGTAGCTTGAATTTGCATATTTTGAAAAGTGTAATACTATTCTACTATTCAAGCCATGTCATTTGATGCCCATATTGAGGTAGTTGTGGAAAAATATGTAATCCGCCATTTTGTAGCTTGAATTTGCATATTTTGAAAAGTGTAATACTATTCTACTATTCAAGCCATTTCATTTGATGCCCATATTGAGGTAGTTGTGGAAAAATATGTAATCCGCCATTTTGTAGCTTGAATTTGCATATTTGAAAAAGTGTACTACTATTCTACTATTCAAGCCATGTCATTTGATACCCATATTGAGGTAGTTGTGGAAAAATATGCAATCCGTCATTTTGTATATATGGCCATCTTGAATTCACAATTATAAAGAATTAATAATATAATGTTGTCATCAGAACTAAATGTGTGTATCAAATTCCAGATCAATCTGTCAACAGGAACGGGAATGAAGTTCAATTACTGAATTTGACTTAAACAAATACACAGGGCAAGGTAAATTAAACCGCTTGAAAAACAAAGGAAATATTGAGTCCTCTACAGAAAATTAATTTTCAGATAATGAATACTCTCATTTTTAACTCTATATTTTCTATCAAAATAAAAACAACAACCGTATGAAATATACGAGATATACGTATATCTCTTTGTAATAGGAATCCATTATATGGTAAGTAAACTTTCAAGTCCATTGTATACCTAAAAACGGGGTAAACATTCATGAAATTGTATTCGCAAGATGTTTCATCAATATGGGATGTTTTATATTCGTAAAACTTCAAAACGTTTCAGAGCCCAGAGCGTTGAAAGCCTTTGTCATGGTGTATAGTTGATAGGAAGCAGTGGATAACAATACGTTTCGATTCAGGAACTTCTAGCAAGGAGTATAGTTGAAAAAATGGTGTATGGTATGATGGATAGAATGATGATATTTGTATCTTCACTGGAATGGATGTTTATTCATAATAATGCTAATTTTGTAATTCTTCGAAAAAAAATGATTGATGAGCTTGCTGATTGTATTTTATCCAACCCTTATTCGCAAAATAAAACATACCGACAGGTGGAGTAGGAACCTCTGGATTGTAATGAATTCAATACAAATTTCCATTTCACATAAAAGAAGTGTATAACACTTTTTTCAACCAGTGTTTCACTAACTAAGTTGAAATCATCAGAAAATAACTTATACTGATTTCTGAAGTCTACCTCATCTTGTTCATATCAAATAGAATGAGCTTTCACTTTCAGAATTATATTAGTGATTTTCATATAATAAGTATCGATAAATTTCCCAATAATTTGCCCTTTACTCTCAGCTGGATCTCTGACAACATGTATCTCAACACCATATATTTCTCTGAAGAAAATGTAATGATTTCCTACCACGTAGTGACCGTTTCATCCATCAATTTATTGTAATGAGTCTGAGCAGTATGATCTTTCCATTTATCTCAAGAAACAATTATATTTTTTCAAAAATTTGAAGAATAACATTATTATAGATATGAAACGCATGAAAGAAAAGAATCATCAACAGGATAAAAATCGTTAGGAAGAGTGGAAAATATTGTGCTCATAAGAGGGAAAATGAATTAAAGTCGATCCACAGAATAGAATGGGGTGTATTATAGGGATGGAAAATGTTTACCTTTGAAATAAGACCTTCTATTGGGAAAAGTTGAATGGAAAAGCAATATAAATTATAAAGATTTACATTTTTTGTATGAACTAGTTTTACATGTAAAAATTGGAAGAAGGTATTTTGGTTTTCTTCTGCTAAAAATCATGATTCTCGGTGGATACTATCTGGGCGCTGTGTTTAGTTTTTGAATTAGAATATTTTTTTATGTAGGAAGCCTTGTTTCAGCCTATAACACCCATTTAAGTACCTACTGAAAATAGTTTTCTTTTCAAATCAACAGTGGCACTTCTTCTATGCAAGAAAAGTAACAATAATATGGAATTGATGAACAAACCTGATTTTGGATTTTTTTCTCTTTCACATTTTCTGCCAAAGTATTTTATGATTATGTTACTTCTTTGTCCCGTTTGGAAGATGTTCCGAAGGAAATACTTCTATAATAATGATATTCTGATGAGGCATGTCTTAGGTTCAACTTCAGCATTGAATCCTTAATGTCACCCTCAGGTTCAACTTTATCATCGAATTTCACTAGTTCGGACTTCCATTGTCTACTATATGAAATGATTTGAAATCCCTGAAACAAGTAAAAAAGAATAATTAAAAAAGAATTTATTTTATTGAAACATTTGATACCAATATGCTTTGGTAAATTTTCACAAACTGATAACCTTTCATAGGGTTATCGAAGTCTTTCTTTATTCCTAGTAACATACATCTGAGTGTCCCCATTCCTAATAAAATCATTTTGGTTTCTTTCAATGTACATAATCAGCTCAAGAATATACAAACATGGAAGAGTTAGTATTTGGAGATTATTGAATAATGGTTTACATGTTGTACTTGGATGTACATGGCACATTGTTCTCATTACCTTTTTTTCAGATACAAATTTCCTTCCAAAGTGATAAGAGAACCCCCAAAAGATCTCGCCATATTGCAAAGTAGACTAGATGTCTGCTGATACAGTATATCCCAGATATTTCATTATATAGCATGTAGTGCTTAGATTTGAACAGTGAATATGTGTGCTTACCCCTCATATCGTAGAGAGCAACCGAAATAATCTGATTTTTCAATTTATTCCTGGAAGGAAAATATTGAGGTTGGACAGTTGTCAATTTTTCTTCAAATACATCAACTGATACATCAAAAATAGTTATTTGTGTGTACTCAAATTATTAAAAGAAGTTATCTTTGCTGTTACGCCAAACGGGGTCAAGTGACATTTTCTTCGCATGAGCAGTCAACATATATTTCTCTGATTGTTGTTTTACAATATATTGTCAAAGTGGAATTAATATGACCGCATCCTAAAAACACTCGTTCATATTAGAATTTACAATTTTATGACTTATCTAAATCCTTTATTTCATTAAAAAGACGCAGTTTTTCATTTATGAACTATCAAAATAGCAGTCAACCCCTTCTTTCACAAACAATAAAGAGTTATTTTCGAAATAAAAACATCTACTGAACATTTAAAAATGAATTTTATACCCAAAGCTCCATAAATGACTATATTGAAATTTCATAACGTTATTGGAACTTATGAAATAACCAAAAAGTATTAAAAACGCAAATTCTTTCTACATCATTCAGGAAATAAATCCCGCTGAAATCAAAACATATATTTAACATTTCTAAATAAACATTTCGTTCAAAGCTCCATGAATGACTATTACAACAAGTTCATAATGTTTTGGGGTCTGTGGAATAGCCAAAAAGTCTTAAAAACGCAAATTCTTTGAACATTAGCTTGGAAATAACGCCTCGCTGGATTACTATAAATCCTTCCCTTCTGAAAGTTTGTATCTGTTTCAGTGGCATGCTCGACTGTGACCGTAACGAAATGCCAAGCAGCCCTTCGTACTCTACAAGCTTTCCCCTTCTTCAAGCCGACTTGTCTCTGTCGAGAGCCTCACGTGGATCCCGACTGCAATTCCTTCAGGGACTTCCTTTTCGATCATCCTTGCGTGTTCGTTATGAAGAAAGGTTCGTACATCTCAAAGTCGAGTTATGGCCTTTAGTGTTAAATTTTGAGAGCGAGAGAATATGTATACGGATTGAAAACTGAAATACGTTGTAATGCGTCGAACAGTTCAAGTTAGATATCAATTTCTAGTTCCGAAAAACACTTATAGATTGGAAAAAAGCAACTTTTGCAGTAAATATTGATATGAAGTTTTTCCATAAATCTCTTTTTGTAATATAAAAAGATGGAGGTATAAACTGTAACCTATCCTAGCACATAATAAACGCAGTTTATGAAAACAGAAATTTATAAAATGTTATAGAAATATTTGAGAAAGCGAAACACGTGTTGTGGTTTTGTTAACTGTTCCATGAAAATCACACAATAATGTGTTAGAGTGAATATGAAATATGTACCCTGAAAGATGAAATATTGCTTTGGCACATTTCAACGCTCGCAACATGAATTAATTCAATGTTACATTAAGGCTTATACATCTTTCTACTTCTTAACGTTAATTTTTCGAATTCTTCTGCATATATTGCAAAGTAATCTTGAGTTCTGTCATTTTGTCATCTCTGTCAGACAAAGCTCTCAATATTTCATCGATAATGAATTTTTTTCATCCTTTTATCGTTGCTACCCTCCAAAAAACTTCAATATTTCAAAAAAACTATAGTTCTGTACTCTGAGATTCAAATTATTGTCAAATATTGTGTGTCAATAACACGTGTTGAAGTGAATACGTGTATAACAAATATTTTTTCATTATGTTGCATGCAATGGGAATTTCTTCTAATGAAAATTCGATGATAATGTAATGCTGATTTGAACTTTTTTGCGACTTCGTTCTCATGAACTAAAAAAATACAAGATATGTTAAATAAATAACGGGATTTTTTTAATTTCACAGTATTGGAGAGCCCGATGTTTTTTTTTTATTATTTTGGTATGCATACCCCAGAAATATGATGAATGAATGTCAAGCTGTATCCATTGTTTACTTTGTCTTTTAATTGCTCGACGATTTATTTTCGTTTGTTAAAACAAATGAGTCAAAGGATGTTCATCAAATTTTGAATAAAAGATCGAAGTGTAAGAAAGTGTATGAAATGTTAACGAAGACCTATGGTGAGTTTTCTGTAAGTGAAACAATAGTTTATTAGTGGTAAAAGCGTTTCCGAAATGACTATGAAGACGTTGAATATAACGTACGACTTCAAAACCCCAGCACATCAACAACCAATGAAAAAGAAAAATACATGGTTGAAAACGATCAGCTGATCACAATCAAAGAAGTCCTTGATGATGTCAACATATCGATTGGTTCTTGTCTTGAAATTTTTTCGGATGTTTTGGTAAGAAACGCGGGGCAGCAAAATCTGTTCCAAAATTGTTGAACTCGGAACAAAAACAGTGGGAAATGAAAGTCACTGAAAAAAGTTAACGATGATGCAGAGTCACTGGAACGTGTTGTAATAGATGAAAAAACATAGGTTTATTGACATGACGTCGACACTAAGGCTCAATGGTCCCAGTGGAGGCTCTCTGACTTGCCAAAACCGATTGTGGTGGCATAGTGCATCCTGAATTTTTGCCACGAGGTCTAAAGGTCAAAAACGAGTACTACTTGCTTGAATGTCGAGAAAAACGTAGGTATTTTTGGAAGAATAGTAAAAGAGTTATCAAAATCTGTTCAGTAGTTACACAGATCATTGATTACAGCTATATCCCGCTGTAGATAGACAAAAAAGACTTCATTTAGACGACAAATTCAACATGAGAATAATTTCTAGCACAAACATTGTTTGTAGCGACCATTCACCCTATAGGCTCTATAGCTGACCAAGTAAGATTATACTCACCTACGAATAGAATGTATCATTTATGGAAACCTTAGCCACCCTAGGTAGCGGCTTGAAGATTTTCTGTGGAATGAACACGAATATTTGTGGAAAAAATATGTATTCTCGAAAAAAACTAACTATCTCTTTATTTGCCCATCTTAAAAAACCGTATGGTAAACCTACAAAAAGTTATGAAAAAAACTTCACTGGAAAGTCTTCATGAAAATACATAAAACATGCACAAAAGTTTGTTCTACTTTCTCTTTCGAAATAACTACTTTCACATAAACATTGAGTTACACAAAAATCATTTTTTCCATTAAGTTTGTAATCCAAAGAATATGAAATTCACAGATGTCGTTTACGGGAACGCCACACAAATCTTTTCTTTCAAATTGGTAACTGAAAGAAGATTCTGTGTATGATTCACAAATCTTTCGAAAGTTTCCTTTGGAGTTATTTCATTCCTTTCGTCATTTTTGTTTGATGATGGTTGGGTAAGAAGACAGAATTTTTTTCCCTGTATTTCATTTATGAAAGAACCTCAATGACACTTACTCCGCAAACCCATGTCACTAGTGAATGTTACTAGCGAATAATATACATTTTTGATGTTGTGAATCGAACCAGAAACCTCTAGGATACTAGAAGTATGTTAGTCACACCAAACTATCAAGACTATGTTGAAAAGTAAATAACCGTCCAGACTCTTTGGACATGTTTTCTTCCTACTGGGGAGCCGTCCAACACTGTAACCTCATGAGGTCAGTACTTACCATAGTCAGCTTACTTGCTGGTAAGCTGGTACTTACCATCCAGTGTCAGCCCTCGTATCATTCCATGTCTGGTTAGAACCAGTTCTACTCCTTAATATTTTCTATCGTTACCAACTAGTGATGTGGAAAAGTAAGTGAAAACCTATCAAGAAATAAATTACACTTCTTCGATTGACGACTTGTTTATTTTGTGGAAATTCATGTTCACTGAGGATACACTACAAAAACACACTTTTGTCTATTTTCACTATATTTCATAATACATTGTCAGCAGTGTTACTCGACTTGCTGATTTCACTTCTTCGATTGACGACTTGTTTATTTTGTATGGTGGAAATATAGTGGAAAATAGACAAAAGTGTGTTTTTGTAGTGTATCCTAAATAAATTACAGTTCATAAAGGACTGTGATATCATGGCACACTATATGATCTGACCAATAAGGAAAATGAGAACTACTTATACATTTAACATTGACAGAAAGTATAAGTTTGTAAACTTTAGCAACGAGGAACTAATGAAAAACATCAAGTGCTATATTTTGTTAGCGATCGTGTGCGTAATAGAATAATATTTCATGAGGAAAGTTGTTCGAATATGAACATATAATATAATCGAAGGGTTTCATACTCAGATTGTTCATTATCAAAACCAAAGGAAACCAAACTGTGTACATTGGGGGATCTGTTTACTCGCTTAGCCTGGATATGTATAGAAATGATGTATTCTGAACACTCAGAGACGTTAGCAGACTGATAACAGAGAGCTATTTTCTTCACATCCAACAAATGTTGTCCTATACTTTGTCGAATATCAAACAGAAATGTTTCCCAATGAAAGGAGTTGGTACGGAAGGGACAATGAACTAATAAAGTTTGAAGAAATATGTTTCATAGTACCAGTTGAAGAAGTCTCTAACTATGTACAACACATTTGCTTTAAAGTGGTTGACAGTTTTTCATGATGAATTTTACTAGTTCGGACTTCCATTGTCGAATATGATATAGTATAATTTGAAATATTTGAAAAATCAAATAAAATCGAAAATCGTTCAGTTATATGAAGCAATTCCGTACACAGCATCCCAGTAAGTCTAACTGGAAGATGGTTTATTTTCGCAAGATGAAGGACCGCCAATGAGATTGATACTTTCACTAGTTATAGCCAACATACATATAGAGTGGTTTGAAACTCTGGCCGTTAAAGGAGCCCCGAGTCTGGTTGAGATACGTTGACGACACCTTCGTAGTATGGAACAATGAAAATATAGAACTAGACACCTTTCTGAAGCACATCAACAGCGTGAAAGCTTTCATTATCTCCACAATGGAGAAGGGGGTACACAACAAATTACAAATCTTAGACGTATTTGTGAAGAGGATTAACATTTTGTAAAAAACATCCGTATACTAATAACCCACTCGCACGGGAAAATATCTGAATCACGAATCCAACCACCATCAATCTACCAAATGGGGAATCATCAAGAATCTAGTGGATCATGCTCTCGCGCTCTGTCATGGTGGATCATGTTTTCGTGCTCTGGGTTGATGGAACAGATTATGGCTGGAAGACATAAATATTCTCACAAGGAATAGAAGCCGTCATAACCAGTGCTTGCCTTTTTCTACGTCAGAGGACTGTCGAAAAACATGAGAAGAATTTGGTCCAAGTGCAATACAAGAACCTGCTTCAGATCCGAAAACACCATCCGTAGAAGCCTCACGAAAACCAGGCCACCAAACAAAGACTGTGATTACAAAAATTGCATTTTTCGTATACCCTGTGAGTGCTGCAAATCCTATATTGGTAAAACTAGGATGCTGTTGGAAGTCTCATTGCCGAACACAAAGAGAAACATACAGCGAGGACAAACCAGCAAATCGGGCATTGCAGAGCATCAACATTACAACAAGCTGGGATCAATCACAGAAAGGAATACTGGTTCGAAAGGAAGTTCAAAGGAGCTGCATATATGTCGTTCAACGATGCATTCAATCAAGCTAGCATAGAGATACGCAACATATGGAAAACTTCGATCTATCGAAAAACGGTCAACTCCCACTGAACTGGTAATGCGGATAGAGGGAAGAGGATATCGGTGGATACATTCGAATGATCTGTTAATAGTTATCTCCTGGAGGAATCTTTCAGTTATCATCCGAAGACGATTGTGCATGTTAACGATCGAAACGTCGTCGTTGTTCAATTTTTAATTTTTTGCTTGTTTTCATCACTGTATTCATTGCTCAAGGTAATTGTTATTCTCAGTCATCAGACAATCATAATAAGTGAAAAATGGAGTGGATCCAGCACAAACACAGCTTCAACATACCAATTAAAGCTCACTCATCAACGCGCATTCCACATACTGAGATAGTGTCATCAAGAAATGAAC